GCTGGTCAATGACTCTCTCATCATTGGTGTTTCTATCTCTCTCTCCCTCTCCTTTCCTCTCTCTCAAATCAATAAAGATATATTTTTTTTAAAAAAAGGATGGGCATGTGAGGCCTGGGAACGTACATGTGAAAGAACCAGGAGGTGGGAGATAGGGTGGGATTCTGCATGTCAATTCTGCAAGTAAAATTCCTAAATGTACAGGAATAATTGGTATTCATCCCACTGGGAACCCCTTTTCTACTAGGCTCCTCTGTGAAAACCACTTTACGGAGGAGAAAACCATAATTACTGCTTGGGATGACAGAACACTTAAGGGACATGTTAAAGTGCTGAGGGTGGGCTCATGCAGCCAGAAAAAGCATATTCATGTCATAATTTCATATTTGGAAAACTGGAATTAAGTACCTGTTGTTTTTGTAATTCAGACCACAGCAAGTGAAGCTTGGCACAACCTCCATGGCTGGGAAAGACCCACAGGAGCCCGGTGAATTCTTAAGCAGGGAAAGCTCCCCATCCCCAGGGGAGGAAGGGGTATTTGAAATCCCAGGGCCTGAGATTGGAGAGGTGTGGAAGTTTAAATAGGTTAATAAATTCTGGACTAAATGCCCTTTAAGGCTCTCTGAATTCTGCTAGTCTATGTAAAATTCTCTTGATGATTATTGATTGTGGGAAGAGAATTTCCAGTATGATGTGAAGTCAGACTTTCATGCTCATTTTAAGACACCCCTACCCCCTACCACACAAACACAAAAGGCTGGAGATGGTAATCTTTAGACCGATTTGTTAACCTTGGTTCAGGCTGCAGAATTGCAACAGCCTCAGGCCGCAGTCAAGGCCCCTCCCTGCTGCTTCAGCACCTATAGATTAATTAAAAAAATTTTTAAAAAATTAATTAGAGAGAGAGAGAGGGAGAGGTTTGTTATTCCACTGACCTGGGATCCCACCTGCAACCTTGGCATAACTGGGAGATGCTCTAACCAACTGAGCTACCCAGCCAGGGCAGCACCTGTAGATTTAGGATAGACCTGCTGCCCGGCTGCCCCTTGCTCTAAGAGGTGCTATGGGGAGCTTCCCAGGGGCCCTGGCCCCACCCCTCCCCTCACTGGGGACTAGCCTTCCCCCAGGTGGGTCCCCTGGAGCTCCCAGATCCTTCTAGCCATCCCATAAATGTGTTCTGGGTTCTAGCACTCCCTCCTCACTTCTGAGGCCCCTCTTCCTCCTCTTTGATGCCAAGTTCCTTTCAAGACAGGCTCACTCTCTCGCCTTCTCTTCCTCATCTTGTCTTCTTCCAACCTGCTGCCTTCCCCCACTCCGTGGCAAAGCTGGGGCAGGGCCCCAAGGAGCCCCATTGCCTTAGTCTGGTTGACTTGGCTGCTGTCTGACACTGTGACAGCACCCTCTGCTCTTGACCACTTTCTATTGACCTTGCCTGCTCATTTCATTTATTTACGAGGACTTGGCACAACTATTGCTAATAATTTTTCCCAAAATGTCTTAACATTCAGATCCCCCTTGGACTATAAATTCCATGAGGGTGGGTGGATACCAGGTCTTTCTCACACATGCCTGTGCAGAGCCTGGCACCTAGCAGATCTTCGTGAATGTGTGGTTAGTGGGTACACTTGTCCTCCCCTCCCCTGGCCCTCCCAGATGGGCTGACCATCCATATCCCAAGCTCTGAAGGCAGGTAGCAAATGGTCAAAGCTGATGCTCTGGACAAATGTCTAGACCATGGCCTGTGGCCCTAACCCTGGCACTCTCCCCCTCTCCTCCCACCTCTTCCACATGCACCCTGGGCCCTTTGACTTTCCCATCCTCTTGGCCCTTCTCAGGTCACAGTGCTCTCTAGGCTTTGCTGTCCCCATCTCAGCTCGAGTGCTCTATCCCCAGCCTTTTCTCCACTTCCCCTGAAGACAGATGGGACACAAAAATAAAGAATTATTCAATGGGCTTAATGGCAGACTAGACACACAAAGGAAAAGATAAATGAATTTGAAGACAGAAAGTTAAAAAAATGAAATAAAGCATCTGAGTGAGATCTGTGAGACAATATCAAATGGTCCAACATACATGCAATTGGAATCTCATCAGCCTGGCCTTATGAAATGGGATTTCCCATCCTCTTGTTCTGCAGCAGTTTTACTTGTATTTTCTTCTTTTTTTTGTAAGAACAGTAATAAGGATATGGGCAAAGAGGAGAGAAATGGAGGGTCGTTTAAGGATTAAGAACATGGGCTCTGGGAGACAATTCTATGACTGAATCCTTCCTTAGTCACTTGCTAGATTGTATGACCTTGGGCAGGTTGTCTACCTTCTCTTAACCTTGATTTTCTCATCTGCACCTGAGAATTAAACAAGATAAGCCAACGAAAGAACCCAGCAGAAACTCCGGCCATGGTGAGTACTAAGTGCTTTTATTCTCATTACAGTTCATTTTGGTCTCATCATCATTTTCATTTATGTGCATTCCCTTCCAGATATGGTCTGTATGCGGAATATTTTTTTAACATTTTCACAGTCATGGTGCAACACCATCATGTATTCTGCTTTCAAATTTTAAAAAACATTATTCTTGGTTTCCCATGTGGCTAGCAAGTCACTGACATCATTTAAAGAGAGGAGGGGTTCCCCAGCACTCCCCTGCATTTTTTTTTTAATCCTCACCCAAGGACATTTTTTTTTCCATTGCTTTTCAGAGTGGAAGGGGGGGAGGGGGGGAGAGAGAGAGAAACATCAATGTGAGAGAGACACATCAATTGGTTGCCTCCTGCACACACCCAAACGAGGGCCGGGGATCCAGCCTGCAACCAAAGTACATGCCCTTGGCCAGAATCGAACCCGGGACCCTTCAATCCATGGGTCAATGCTCTAACCACTGAACCAAACCAGCTGGGCCCCCCCCCCCTGCATTTTTGGTGGGTTTATTTTTATTTTTGTTTCCCTCCACGTATTACTTACCCCAAGCTCCTGATAACAGGGAGAGGCAGGTTCTTGACAATCATTTACTCTTCCAGACTGCACCTGGCTGTCTAAGGGGGCCACTCAGAAAGGATTTGTATGCAGGCTCTGCCGCTAACTTGCCTTGTGCTCCTGGCTCCCTTTTATAAACAATGACAGGCTCTGTCCAGCCACTCACAGAAGCACTGTTCAAACAAACATACTCACCATCATTGCCACTCATGGACTAGAAACAAAGACAAGTCTTAAGTTCTCTCAGAGGCACAAGGTCTTAAAAGCTTCCTGGGAAATGCTTGTGATAGTCATGTTTTCTGTCAGGGAACAGAGAAGGCACTTGGAAAATTCCTGCTTCAGAATGGTTGTAGGAGTGGCGGGCCCCAGTGAACCAGTGGGCAGGGTTCAGGGCTCCCATCCCAATTCGCTTGTAACACTTCTGCCATTGCCCATCTTAAACCTTGGGACTCCTCAGAGGATTTAATGGGCACCAAGTATAAACCATTCATCTGGTCCAATGTACCCACTTTGCAGATGAGAAAACTGAGACCCTAAAAGGTAAAGGGGTGTGCCTGCCAGCACCATTCTGGATGACCCCTGAGCTGTTTTCAAAGCATCTCTGAAAGGGTGCCCTCAAGATGAAATGAGAAAGTACATAGATCCTCAAGGGAGACTAGATTTGACTTGGCACAACATGCTGGAAATTTGAAAAATCACTTCTGTCTTAAGTCCTTTAAACCAGGAAGCTAATGTGAGGCCTAAACACCACTCTGGGTGTGGTCAGGAGGTGCAGATGACAAAGTGAAGGTGAGAGGGGCCATATGAACAGTAACAGATACAACATGTAAAGGCCAGGAGCTCCCCTGACCTGCCTCCTTTCACTCCAGGGACAAGAGCTGGGTTTAAGGAGCTCAGTGACAGAAAAAAGAATGGCCTCTGCCCCTGCCCTGGCAAATGCCTGCAGGAAGAAACAGAGTCTTCCTGCTGCCTGTCAGGATGGCTGACCCCTAGCTTGATCTCAGCTAATTGGGCAGCGTGAGAGGAGGACACCACCCCCATATCTGCTCTGCATCTCCAATGCACCAGAACTTGTGTGACACAGAAGAATTGCTATTGATTTTCACTTGTGCTGGCCGACAGAACAAAACCAATTCATCAAGGGCCTGTCTGCCTCGCTGCTTCAGATACTCATCCTAACCACATGTGAATAAATTGTACTAGCAGCTAGAGTGATCTGTCAAGGTCCTGCTGGGCAGGGGCCCTGGCTTCCACCGATGGACTGCAGGCCAGGCTGGGCTAGGATCAGCCCAGCAAATGCCCACTGTTGATCCGCCATTGCTCAGCAACATTCTGGGGGCCCAGGAATCGGGATGCCTGGGAGCTGCTGTCACACTAGGAGCCAGTTGGCCATGCCTGGGAGGGAACTCTGAGGAACTAGGCCCAAGTCCCACTCATCCCAATAGGGCTTGGCAATAACATCCTCACTTGTTTCTTCTGATCTCTGACCCCTCAGTTTTGAAGGATTTGGAGTATATGTGCAACCAGGAGGCATTGAGTTCTGATACTGGCTCTGCTGCTGGCCCAGTGTCCTCAGGCCAGCTGAGATGAAGATGACACCACCCACAGGGGTCTAGGACCCTATAAAGGCCAGGGGTCAGACTGAGTGTCCACCCCCGTTCTCCCACTTCCTAGCTATGGCCTAGGCAGGCACCTTCAGCTCTCAGTTTCCTCATCTCTACTCTGGGGCTGACAACAGTGCCTACCTCCTCGGGTGGAGGTGGTGAGGACTAAATGAGATAACAGGACTGCAGGCCTCACACCCCGAGTCCTTTCTTCCACAAGCAGGGACTGGAGGTTCAGAGAAGGGAGTGATGTTCTCAGGGACACACAGCAAGGCAGAGCAACATCAGGAGGAGTTGCAATGAGAGGCAAGCATGAGAGGCTGATGAAAGGAACACGGTGACATCCTGCCCTCTTCCTCTCCAGACAGTGGCTGTCACTGAAGAATGGGACACAGGGAAAACGGGTCATGGGCGCATCATGGATGATTGCTTAAAAGGGTCAAACACTTTATTCACAGGCCTTTTTTTGTTTTTGTTTTTGAATATACAGGTTTCCTGCTGTCCAGGGAAAAAGGAAGTGGTGTCTGGTTGCACGAGGTTTGGGGGGCTTGCCCTGGGGCTCTGTCCCCATCCCTTTCGCCTGCTTGCTGGCCCCACAGGTTCCTCTGCTGTGGGATAAGGCACTGTGTGTTCTGCAAGGTGCTCACGGCTGGTGGATGACAAGGCGGCCTTTTCAGAGGCTGCAAAGCTGAGGCTGCTGAGGGGTCAAGTTGAACTTGGGGCCTTGGTGAGGAGGTTCCGGGCTACAGAAACTCAGGTTAGTGGGTTTGGCACCGCTGCCTCCTAGCTGGCCCTGGCGTGGTGGCTTCAGGATGGAATCATGCCTTTATTTCTTTTGCGGTCGGCCATGGTTCTCCGGTTGTGATTGGCTCGTGTAGACTTGTTAGCTTCCTTCTTCCTGCGTTCCTGGGTTGTCTCACGGTTCTGCCCGTGGCCCCGGGGGCTGCCGGCCACTGCCGCTGAGCTATCGTGCCGGTACCTAAGGGAGGAACAACCCATCCCCAGGAGAACCCATCAGCCAGAGGAGGCTCTGATAGGAAGAGCCCATAGCCTTCCTCCAAGATCCCTGGGAAAGGACACACAACTTGGGCAAGGGCACCCATGTCCCAACTTGTAGTGAGAGGAGAAATGGAGACTAGCAGGGGCAGGACTATGAAGGCTATGGGCAGTCCTGTGTGTGGTGATTTCTCTTCTCTGAGCCTTGCCTGCAGCTGGGACCCTGGCTAAGCTATGAGGAAGGACCAGCTAGTGGCTGACTGCAGTCCACACAAGGAGAGGAGGAAGGCTTGGGGATGGGTTCCCTCCCTTCTCCATCTATGCTATAGATAATACTCCTGTTCTATACTTCAAGGCCTTGCTTGGTGGCCTCCAAAGACCAAGTGTGCCCACAGACATGACCTAAGACCTTTTCAGACCATCTCAACTGCTGGGTTTGTTCAGAGCTCTGTGCTCAGGGGGCTGGGAGGGAAGAGAGGTCAGAGTTGCTTGTTTCCTGCTCAACAACCTTCTGGGGCTCTCCACTGCCTTCAAAATACGATCCAAATGCCTTCCCTCTTGGGTGAGGTCTCCTGCACCAAGTGGGCAGTGCCATGGGAGTCCCAGGGTCAGGATGAGGGACTGGGCTTTCACCCCTGGCTTGGCCTTCAGTGGAGGAGGGACCTCAGGCAGGTCCTCACTGGAAAGACTAGGGGGATGAATTAAAGGTGTCTCTGGTTATGTGTTCCCAGCTCCCCTCTCCCTGACCACACCTGCCCTTTCTTGCCTTTCTGCTCTCACATGACAAACTCCTTTGCACCCTTTCCACCCTTAAAGACCAAGCTCAAGTGCCCTTATCCCTACTATGCCTCTCTCAGCTATAAAGAATGTATGTCAGTCTGTCTGCCTGCCTGCCTGGGCTCTTTTACATTTTATACTCTGCCTGATACCAGCTAGCTCTGGACACATTGGGCTCTTATACTAGGAGATACTTGCAGCATCTGTCAAATAATGGTTTTAAGTGTGGACCCCAGAGCTGGGCCACCTGGACTCAATCTTTGCTCCACTATCTACTAGCTGTGTAACCTTTTGCAGGTTACTTAACATCTCTGGGCCTCAGTTTCCTCATCTGTAAAATGAGGATAATGATAGTAGTGGCTACTTCATAGGCTTGTTGTGAGAGATAAATTAATATATGTAAACCACTTAGGGTTTATATGTGGGCTTGCTGGTTGTTGGCTGGGACTTCCTCAGATGGGTTCCTCACCACCAGAAACAGCTCTTTAAATGCTCACCCCTTCCTGGCGAGAAAGGCCATGCGCCTGGCTTCTGCTTTCTCCCGCAGCACCGCAGGGTCCTGCACAAAGTGGTCAGGCTGTGGAAGGGAGGGGAGAAAAGAATCATGAGTTGTTCCATATCCCTAAGCTGTGGTGAGATTGTGCCTGACTGAATCCTGTTGACACCTCCCTGCCAGGAGTCGGGGGAAGCCACAGCATGGCAGGGAAATGTCCCAGAATGGAACTGGGCTTGCTACAGTTCAAGGTTTCTACTAGAAGCCTTCTCCTCCTCTGTCCCTTCCACCAATTTCCCAAGGGGGAGGCAGCACAAGGGCCTGAGGCTTCCTGGACAGGCATAGTAGGGTGGGTGACCACAGTTGGAACATAACAATGATAAATGGGAGCCGTCAGGGGAAGGCCAGGTTGGCCACGAGAGGTCATGTAGGGCCTTGAAAGCCAAGAGGGCCGCCCCTGGAAGCTGATTTGTCCTCATGCTGGCACTGCAACTACCAACACATTGTGGAAATGCCCACTCTTGAGGACCATTTTCTGTGCCAAGAGTGAAAGCGGCCTGGACTAGTAAGAGTGAAGGGAATAAACTAAGACCACAGACAGGCTTTGGTTTTAAAAGCCTGTTTTAAAAAATACAAACAAAGCAAGTAGAATTAGTAACTTTTGAAAACTGGAAGGTTTTATAAAAATCTGGGCTGTCTCCTTGCCTGGAAGAAGGGAAATCCCTGGAAGTACTGGCCTACATTTGTGCTGAGCTCCTCCCCTCCTCCCAACAGGGTGTGTGTGCTGTCCCCTACGAGGCTCAGTCTCCACCAGGACCTCATGCCTGCCCCTGGACACATCTTAACTTACCCTGCCAGGGGGGGCACCAGGGGTCCCAGGCTGTCACTCCATTCAACCTGAGCAGCACCACATTTTACTGTTTTATACGTTGAGGTTCTAGTTAAGATCTTATTTGAAGAAAACGTTTAGCTGCTTAAAAATAAAATTTTCAAATCCACCAGCCCAGATGACCTCCCAGGGTCCTTGAGCTCTAACACCTCTCTGATTTTAAAAATTGCCATCCTGGGCATGGAAGCAGACAGCTGTCCCGCTCCCGGCTCCCAGGCTCCTTAGGTCTAATGAACCCAGCAGCTCAAAGGCGCAGCCTCTGGTCCATTCCCTGGGCCCTCACTGGGCAGCTGAGGCCAGTTCTAAGCCAGCAGCTCTCCAAGCAGACATCTGGGCTTGAAGGTGCCCCTCTTCTCCGGGCAGTGATGCTGGGGCTGCCTCGAGGCCAACAGGAAGGGGGACGCGGTGCTCTCAAGTCGCCCTTTAGAAATGCACCCTTCCTTCATCTGCCACCTGCCAAAGAGGTACCTTGGGGGCCTCGTCTTCTGCTTCCTCCTCCTCCTCCTCCTCCTCCTCCTGCCCTTCTCCGGGCACTTTGGTTCTTAGCACTTGAGGGATGGTGAAGGGCCTAAGGGTTTAGAGAGAAAGTAAGATCAAAGACAAGATTAAACTCAGAGAGCCTCAGGGAAGAGGGAGGAGGGAAGAGGGAAGAGGGCTGGGTGAGGGGGGCTGATGGAACAGGCTCAGGAGGCTGGGGGGGAAAAACCACAGTGTTTTCAAGTCAGCTTTGCTCCAGCCCCTGGATTCTTTAGGGTACCAGGGTCTGACATGCGGGCTTAGGGGACATTAAGCTTGGGCTATGGGGGCTCTCTAGTTCTGTTTTTATCTGTATTGGGTAATCTTCATATGAATCCACCAGGAAAGGTTTTCTGCAATTAATAATAATGTAAAACTACTACAAAAAAACAAATTAATAGGACTCCACTAAGAGTGGGTTGGAGCAACCAGCCAAGGAGTAACTGGGGTTGGAGAGCACTGGACTAGGAGTCAGGAGGCCTGGGTTTAGGCTCTAGTTCTGCCACTGACTTGCTCATGTGATCAGGGCCTTGGCTTCTTCTCTGTATAAACAAGAGGCTATGGGAGAGACCCATGGGCCCGAAAGCCAGTCTGCCCCCGGAATTCCACCCTCCACCTGCCCTATGGCCTCACCTGCGGCTGATGAGCTCATCATCTGAGTCAGCGTCATTGGCGCCCACCTGGTTGCCATCATATGTGTCATCATACTCGTCCTCATAGTCATCACCACGGTAGGACAGGCCCTCACCTGGCTGCACCGGCACCTGCAACGGCAGAAGCGTGGGTCAGAGGGGCCCAGGGGCAGGCTGGTCTCCCCGGCCCAGCATGAGCCCAGTGGCCTGGGGACACCTACCTCCTCCACCACCATGCTGTACTGCTCATAGCGCTGCCTCTGAGCCACCACCTCCCGCTTGTCATTCAGCAGGCTCCTTGTGTTCTCCCTCTTCCTGGCATTGAGAGGAAGCAGTGAAGGAGAGAGCAAATAACCATCAGGCACTGAAGGCTGCATCAAGGGTCCAGAGAGATCACAGGCTCACTTCTTCACCCCTCAGGCCAGCACAAACAGGGACAACCAACATCAAGCACTGGAAGGATGTGAGCAGGTGGGACTCACAGCTGCTGGTGCCCATGTGACTGGGCCCAGCACTTTTGAGGGCATCCCAGGAGCAGCTGTTAGACTATAAAATGTGCCCACCCTTCAACCAGAAAATTCCCCTTCAAGGCATCCACCCTAGAGAAATGCTGGCCATGTGCACCAAGAGGTCTGACTGGGATTTTCTTTTCAGCATTGTTTGTTAACAGTGAAAATGGAAAGCAACTAATGTCCATCACAATGAAATGGCTAAATGACCTGTGCCACATCTGTATTACAGAACGCCACGCAGCAGTTCTCAAGAATGATGTTGATCTATTTGTGTTGATGGAGAAAGAATTCTGATGAGGAAAAAACCCAGCTCCAGAAAAACGCATACAGTATGATCCCATCTGTATAAAAAGCTGAAAGCAAACAAGACCAACCATCTGTTCCTATTGGCTCATATATATCTATATGTGCAAATGCACAGAGAGGGGCTAGTGAGTCCCCTACCACATGACAATGGTGACTCCCAGGAGGGCCCTGGGTTATTTGAATCTTTGAAAACAGACATTTAAGAAAGAGCAAGGCCACATGTGGTTTTCTTACTGAGCTCAGGGGAGCCCCCGGGACCTTTGGGGTGTGAGGGGTCAGGAGGGATCCTGGCCTCTTCCTCTCACCCCCACTTCAGCAGTGGCCTTCTAATTGGTCTATGTTCAATCTTCCATGTCAGATTGCATAGGGAAAAAATGCCTGAGCCTGGCCGGATGTGGCTCAGCGGTAGAGCATTGAACTATTATCCAGGAGATTGCGGTTCGATTCCTGGTCAGGGCACATGCCTGGGATGCAGGCTTAACCCCCAGTCAGGGGGTGGGCAGGAAGCAGCTGATCAATGACGATTCTCTCATCATTGATGTTTCTGTCTCTCTCTCTCTCCCTCTCCCTTCCTCTCTCTGAAATCAATAAAGACATATATTTAAAAAAAAAAAAGCCTGAAAGTTCCACTTCCCTCATATCACAGTTGGGGTCCAGGAAAGGGGCAGGACTGCTCGGGATCACAATGAGGTGTAGCACAGCCACAGTGGGGACTCAGGCCTCTTGACTCATGGCTTTGCAAATCTACAGAAAAACCTGGCTTGTCAGACCCACAGGCCTGTGGAATGTAGTTTTGAGCCCTGCAGGGGAAAATCAATATGAGATGCTAGGCAAGAAAATCCAGCTTAGCTGTGAAATCAGGTCTCTGGAATGTATCAAGGGGGCGGGGGAAGCGGGGGGACACAAAGCCATACAAAGCTTCCATAAAAACCTATTAACTGGCTTTTGATATAAGCAGGGGTAGGCGCCTGAGTCTGTTGGGCTGTCTGCCGGGGAGCCTGGGGCAGGTCAGGACTGTAGCCGCCAACATGGCAGGTTAGGATTGGACTTCTTTCAACAGTTTTTACTAAGGGCCTTACTATGTGCCAGGCAGGGTACAAAGGCTGAGTTGAGGAGAGATTCAGAAAAGAGCAAAATATGGGTCTGACCTTGTGGAACTCACAGTCTAGTGGGGGTGATAGCAGATACCCCCAAATAGCAGACAACACGAAATGTGCTGAATGGAAGCAAACATGCCCTGGAAACTCAGAGAAAGAAGGAATGAACTTTGGCTCAGGGGCATCTAGCTTGGGGTCTGGGGAAGGAGTAATGGAGGTTCTATGGTGGGAGGGTATTTGATCTAGACAAGGGAAAATTTTCCATCCACAGAAATCTTTCACATCACACCAGGGAAGGGGTCCTGTGACTGTGACCTTGGCCCTGACCTGGCTCTCTTTGCCAAGTTGGGGGCTGGAAAGAGGTGGAGAGGAAGTGAAAGGGGTCCAAGCTTGCTAAGTGGTTGGTCCCACTGGTAGAAGCACATCCATTCATTCAACACCCATTTCTTGAGGGCCTACTAGGTGCTGGGATCTGAACCAAGTAGGGGACCAAGGATGAATGAGAGGCGTCACTGTCCTTTCTACTACTCCCATGGCTCCTGGTACACACTATCCCAGGTTCTGGGAAGTAGGGAGGTTCTTCTGTACTGGTGGTCTCTGGTTGTGTGGCTCCCTGGCAGGGCCAGACAGAGATACCTGGCAAACTCGCCCACCCCTGCCAGGCCCTAGGAGAGGATATAGCTAGGGACAGAGAAGCCTGGCACCATGGGTACCCTGTCTACCCCATCTAGAGAGGTATGGCTTTGGCCCTATGACCTCATTCAGAGTCAGGAGGAAAAAAATCAGGGGTGATACTAGCAGGGAAAAGATCCATCTGGGGGCCAGCACTTCAGTCAAGTCTGAAAACGCAGGCAGCAGTGGCTTGGGAGACTGTGTTTGGAGCAGTTTGCTCCTTGTTTTCCTAAAGAAGGCAGTGAGCCCAGGCAACAAGCAGGCCCCCAGAAGCCCAAGTACCTTTTCCCTCCCCACCTGCTCCAGCCTATTCAAGGCCCACTCAAACTGGGCCTTAGGGGGTGACTCCCGCTTTGAACTTCTAAAGGGCCTGCAGAGGCAATAAACCCTTCCTTTTCTAGGTGAGAAATCAGAGGATCCAGAGAGGCACAGTAACCTTAAAGTCACAAAGCTTCTACCAGCAGGGCCAGGGCGGAACACGGGTCTTCTGACTTAAGTCTGCTCTGCTACTTCCTGAGCTGTGTGACAACAGGCAAGTCCCTTATTCTTGCCAAGTCTTAGTTCTGCCTCCCAGGGATGATGTGAGATAAAATAAGAAGAGTAGAGGTGGACCTGGCACCCGCTGGGCTCAACAAAGTGAATCCTATTTATTTTACTGTAGGACTTGTAGAGGCTTTAATGTGCTCTGTGACTCTCCTAGAGGCAGAAAGAATATACAGATTTTTTGGCCATAGAACCTTTTTTTGGGAAAAACATTTATTATCTTCCAGGGTACTCCTGTTAAGTCCAAAGGAGTTAGGGGACCCCACCTTATATACACTTCCTCCTTCATTTAGCTATGATATACCAGCAGCAGCTGTGCTTGGTAGCTATCCAACAGCAACCTTCAGTATCATCTCCACTCCTAACAGTTTCTCATTTTGTTCAGGTCTTTCCACCCTCCCCCCTTCTCCTGGAGCCCTGGACCTGTCCTGTGACCCAGTTCCTCAATAAGATGTGGGGGATTACGGACACTTCTGGGAAAGGTTTCCTGGTCTCTAAGAGATATAGGAAGACCTGGTTCAGACTTCCTCTTTGCACTGTCATTGCTGGAGGTCATGGCTCAAACAGCAGCAGCCACCCAGTGGCCTTGAGGGAACCAGTTTCAAGAGATAAAAAAGATGCATCCTTGATGATGTGGCTGCCCAAAGGTTGACTAAGCCTAGAGGGCCCTAACGCAATTTCTTGTCATGCAAGAGAATAGGTTTCCTTATTACTTGAGCCACTGAGTGCATCCTACCTGATTTAATAACACACACACATATCCTAGCTGGTTTGCTAGGTGGTTAGAGCATTGGTCCTCACACTGAAAGGTCCCGGGTTCAGTTCTGGCCAAGTGCACGTACCTAGGTTGCAGGCTCGATCCCCAGCCCCAGTCGGGCGCCTGTGGGAGGCAACTGCTCAATGTGTCTCTCTCATATCAATGTTTCTCTCTCTCTCTCTCTCTCTTTCTCCACCCCCTTCCACTCTCTGAAGAACAATAGAAAAATATTCTCCTGTGAGGATTAAAAAAAAAACAAAACACACACATTTTAATTCAAGTGTGACCTGCCTTGTGCTACTTAATTTCTCTTGTGGTCCTTGAGGGCAGGGCCCAGGGCCCTAAGCCCCTCTGCCCTAGCCAGATTAGAACAGGTGTCCCCACTGAGGCCCTTGCATGCCCCATGCCAGCACCTCTCCCACTTTATCACTGCTTATTGCATGATCTGAGTCTTTCCCATGGTCTGTGTGACATTTTAGGGCGAAACCTGGGTGCCCAGTTCACGTTGTCTCCCTACTGTCTAGCACAGGATCTAGCACTAATAAATCACTTAACAAATATTTGCTGAATGAATAAATAATGAATACATGAACGAAGGGTTTGCCTCTTTGCAAACCTCAGCCCCTAGGCTGCCCGGCACAATGAGTTCAGTAAACATTTGCCACCCAGACTCTCTGCCTGGCAGCCTGGAGCGTCCTATGAGCAGGGGCACAGCCCTTCTTGTCTGCCCCTTTACCCACAGCACAAGCTACAGAGAGTCATTCTGGCCTGGAACAGTGGCCACTGCTGCAGGATACCATCTCTGGCCAAGGATCTGGGGATGTTGCAATGTGTGTGACTAAGCAGATTACAATTGTTTCCTGTCCAGCCAGCCAGATAACTTTATAGCTGTCCTATGCCTGCTCCCCAACCACTTGGCCAGCCAAGCTTCCAGTGGCCCTAGGGAGGGGAAATAGCATGGGGCCCTCACTGAAGCAGCAGCTTGCAATACTGTCATAAGAACAGGACAGGTCCCCAACCGTGTCTGAACGGCACTGTCACCATCTACATGACGGGGAAAGGGCAGGCTGTACTTGTCCAGCAGTGCCCAGATTTCTGGATTTCATAAAACACCACCATTTAGGAGAACTTTAGGAGACTAGCACAGTTCTGTCAACGTCTTATTTTTGCTATTCTCTACTACGTTGTCCTATCTACCATCGCTGACTCTCAGTCCCTCCCATGGGTCTCTATTCCAAAGTCAGGTGATCTTTCCAAAACAAACGAGTTGGCTCATGGGGCCATCACCATGCTCCCCATGGCCTCAGGGCCACTGCCCCTGCTGTTCTCTGTGCTTGGAAAGCTTCTCCTTCCCCACTTTGCACAACTCACCCTTCCTTATCCTTCCTCTCGGTCCCAAGTCATTTCCTCAGAGGAGCCTTCCTGCCTGGATCAAAGGCCCCGCCAGAGGCTTGGAAGTCTGCTCACCTTCACCTTGTAGTACATGTTACATCTGTGATTTTACATTGCTTGTTTGATTAATTGATTAGTACAAACTCCATGTGGGCAGGGGCCATGTCTGTTTCACTCCTCATGACATCCCCAGCAGCTAATTAAATCCAGGGTCTGGATGGCCATAAGCACTGGGCAAATATTTGTTGAGTAAATGAATAAATCATGAATGGTCTTTCAATGCCAAAAAAGTAGAAAGGACATAAACTAAAAATACAGTATGTAGAAAGGCTTCAAGTGAAACATGTTCACTTTCTGAAAAGCTCACTCGGTATAGGTCCTTTATTTTCTACTTTTGCCACGGGCTGGAGAAAATCAGGTCAAGGAGAGGCTTCTAGGGAGCACTGCCCAGCTCTGCCATCCAGAGATTCGATGCTCAGCACATCCAAAGATGGAAGAAGGGAAGAGTTTTGGCCCCTCTGGCCTTTTGCTATCAACAAGGAGGATTCACTCAAAACCACCCTGTGCAGAGTCAGAGCCTGAAGTATAACTGTTAAAGCACCTGCACCCAATTGAGAGAGAAAAAAAGAGCACACAGGTCTTGGGCTGCCAGAGAGCCCTGAGCTCGGTTCTATAAAGACGAAGCTCTTGGTTTCTCTCGCTTTCTGGCTGCACTTGCAGAGTTGGGGTGCCTGGAACTCCGCAGCCACTGCACTCACCTCCTGCCCTTGTGTACCCGGCTCAGATCCACTGAGTCCCTGCTGAACACGTCAAACTCATCGTTCTGGAAGATGTTGTGACGAGATGTCAGCAGAGGTGTCGGGTCTGGATTCACCTGTCTGGGGCGTGGCATAGAAAGCAATTTAAGGAGGACATGCCAGCTGATGCCTACCTGCAACCCAATGCCCCCTGCCATGTTCAGATTCTCCACTCTCCTTCAACGGCCACAGCTGGGACATAATATAAAAACCTACCCTATCTGGCCCCTGCCTGGTATGACCCACACCTTACATAAAGTTCCCTCTCTGTCCTGCTTGCCATTCACATAGATTTTCTTAAAATTCCCCTCCTTCATTTAATGCTCACAACAGCCCTATGAGATAGGTAGCCACAGATCACTCAATCTCTTTACGCCTCAGTGCCCTCATCTGTAAAACAGGCACAAAGAGGCTGAGGAACTTGTCCAAAGTTAGCAGAGCTAACTGAATTCACTTGTTCGATAAACATCATTTGTTCATGGAAGAAACACCCATTCATGCACTCATTCTTGCGGCCCCCCGGGCCCTTAGGGAAGCAGTGGGCCAAACTTAGAAAGGGTAGGTATGAAGGAAGTGAGAAGCTGTGGCTGTCCTTCCTCAGGAATCTACTGGGAAGGTGGCAATGACAGGGGCAGGCCAGTAACTTAGGAGCTCTGAAGGGCGCAGCAAGCCCTTCCACATCCCGTGTGTCTAACTGTCTCCCCAAAGGTGTAGCAGGGAAGTCCAGCTTTGTACTCTCTGCGCTACAGGGGGCACATGAGAATCTCCTGAGGGGCCTAAGGTTTTTATGTTTCTCCAAAGAGGACATTAGTTTAAATGGTCAGAAAACCTCTCTCTGGGGAAGAGTGAGCAAGCTGAGTCTTGGGACACAAGGGAAGGAAGAGTGGGAAGCAGAGGAGCTAAGAAGGGGCCCTGATAAGGGCCTGCAGAGCAGCTCTGGCCAGGACCCTGAGGGAGATGGGGTGCTGTGAGCCTCCTCCCGCTTGTCTCTCCCACCTGTCTAGGCTGCGGTCCAGCTGGCTGAGGGCAGGGGTCAGCCGCTCCTCCAGGATGTTGTTGATCACCTGCTCCGGGTCATAACCATAGTGCTCCAGGCAGGCCAGGATGAAGCCCTCACCAAGTTCCGGGAGCAGGTCCTTCACTTGGGAGATGAGTGAGTCCAGCTCCACACCAGAAACAGTGGGGCCCAGGGCAGCAGCTGCCCCCAGACACTGTGGAAAGAGCCAAGTGAAGGAGGGGAAGGCGAGGCCAGGTGGGTGCTAGGATAACAGGCCCCAAATAGCACTGGACCAGGAATCAGGGGACCTGGTTCAAGTCCTGGCCCTTACTAGCCATAGGACCTTAGCCAAGGGACTCAAGTTTCTGAGCTTCCATTCTCTCCCCTATGAAAAAGGGGGCCCTAGGACTTACCAGGTGAGCTACTTCTGGCTGTGCGAACTTGTGAGTTGTCTCTTCTCTCTGAACCTCAGTTTCCTCCTCATAAAATAATCGTACATACTACCACATACCTCACAGGGTTGCTTCAAATGGTTCAAGGAAATAACGTACATAAAGTGCTGAGCACAGTGCCTGGCACAGACTAGGTTCTCCATAAATTGCCGCCGCTTCTACTAACCAAGGTCCTTTTCAGCTCTAACAAGCTGACAGCTAGCATTGGAGGGGAACAGCAACCACCAGTCCTGGACTGTGTGGAGATGCTTCCCTTTAATTGTATGCTTTTCAATAAAGCAGTCAGTTTATAGACTGCTTGATGTGGCTTAATTTTGTTAGGCTTTTCATTTAAGGAAATTCCCAAATAAAAAAATCTTCCATGACTCAGAGAAATCAATGGGAAAGAGGGTGGAAAGAGGTGGAGGGGACTGTCATTCCCGAAGGCCCTGTGACAGTTAGGCACCTGGGTTCTAACAAGGAGAACATCAGTGTCTGTTAACAAGGCATCAGGGGCTAGCCAAGTTCACAGAGCTCCAAGCAGCAGTTCTGGGATCCCAACAACTTCATGGAGATGGGGACAACTAGCCCCACCTTACAGATGAGGAACCAAGGCTTGATGTGAAGGGACAGTGCCTAAGTCCATACAACTGGTAAGTAGCAGGACCTGGATATACCCCTGAGCTGCCTAGCCCCGGAGACTGTGTGGTCTTAATCCCTAAGTCACGCTGCCTCCAGACACATGGGGAAGATTCCTGGGCTCTGTAGCCAATCAGTACAACCACAGACTTGAGTTCCGGAAAAGCGTGGAGAGAAAGCACTAGATGAGAGGTTTCCAAACTGGCTCGGCAGAGCCCTGTAGCCCCATGGAGGGGCATCCAGGGTGGCCAAGCAGTGAGACCTGATACTGCACCCAGCTGTAAGCAGAGCGGCTCCACCGTGATCCACTCAGAGGAGAGCACCAAGAATTTTGCTTCATCTGATAGAGGGGAAACTGAGGCTTTGACAGCTTATGAGACTGGCTCTCTCCTCACACCCCGTCCAGCATGTCCTCAGCCCAGGACTCTCTAAAGGTAGCACAGAGCTGACCAGTAGGTTGAGGCTGCCCATTCCAAAAGAAGTCTTTTTGCCAGAAAGCAGATAAAAAGGCGGGAGATTTTTCTACCATCCCAACCTTTCAGACAGGGACAGGAGGGGCTGCAGCAGGGAGAAAGTGCTACTCCATACACACCTCCTCTTCTTCCGAGTTCTCTGCATGTGATGATGGTCCATTGACTGGCTCTGCTGTCGCCACAACCCCGTTAAGATCCTCGGCCACTGGTGGGTCTTTAGCATCTGTGGGTTTCTGTCGGTCCACCCCTTCCCATGCACTCTCGACTGCCTGAAGGATGTAGGCAGCCCGCGTCTCATCTCTATGAGGATGTTAAGGGGTGTCTCTTGGTACCATAGCCCTCCCTGCCTCCTCAGCTCTGAGGCAGCATACTTTCTCAATCTCTCCCAGCATCTGATCATACAGCTCTGCCAGGGACTGTCTGGGATGCAGCCCAGCGGGCATCAAGGCACCTGGACATCTGTGCTACATGAGGAAAGAGGGGCTAGGGCCTTGGCAGGGATCTAGGGAAAGCCAGCTGACCTGCGAGTTCTGGGGTAAACCTCCCTCTGCTCCTCTGGGTCCCAGCAGCCCATCTCTGACCTGTCAGGCCAGGTCCCATCCCAGTGGCTATGGTGGAAGGATACAAGACTGACGAGGCCTGCTGCAGCAAGCTGACATCATCGGCCACAGGGAAGAGCGCATCGTAGTCCCGGAGGAACCTGCCAGACAGAGAACAGATGGGAAGGACAGGGCTGGGGCCACAGGGGGACTGGTCTGCTGTGGGCCACTCCCTGTGTCTGCTGCACAACCACAAATTCCAGACTCTTAGATCATGGTAGTTATGGCAGGGGCTCTATTATGTAAGGTCTTGTGGATGCTGATGAAGCACCATGGTCCTGTCCCACTGCTGGTCTCAGCTCAACCACACTCACCTCTTCTCCTGCAGCAAAGAGCTGAAGATCTGAAGGAACTCTTCAATGAAGCCCTGAATGTTGTCACAGCTGGAACAGGACACCAGAGAGGATGAGCTCACTCAATGCAGATAATATGCAGCTCCCTTCCCCGCCTATCCCGCCCCACCTAGCCCTATGCAAAGCCTCTGGCCAGTTAGAGGAAAGAGGCTTTTTTCTTGGTTCCCCATCCTGCTCAGCAACTTGGAGCAGGAGAGGGAACAGATAACTTGAGGGAAATGCCCCTGCTGAGCTTGGGGAGGAGGCTCTTCCACCTGGGTGGCTGCTCCCAAGGGCTTACCTGCTTTCTAGGATGGGGAGAAGGCAGATCTGGTACGTAAGGATATGAAAAATCTCCAGTAGCTTCCTCCTGGAATGAGACAGCCTCTGCCACAGGTCACCTAGCAGCCTTTGAAGGCCAAGGGAAACAAAGAAATAGATTTTTGAGAAACAAAAAGGAACTGAGGGAGCTTAATCCCACCCTACCCAGCTCCACCCCCATACACACTCTGGGCTGAGAAGGCCTCACAGTTCACTGTTGACGGCAGCTGGGAAAAGGCTACAGGCTGTAAGAGGCTGGCTGGTTCTAGGGCCACTTCTCAGATCAAAGAGTGGGTCAGGAACCAGAGGCCGGTTAACAAGAGCTTAGAGCAACAACTGAGGGGAAAAGGCTTAGATGCAGGGGCCAAGAGGCTGCTTGGTAGGGATGCACCTGCCAAAGGTACATGGTCCTTGGTCCCACCCCTTGTCTTGGAGATGGGGATGCTGAGGCAGGGCCTGTGCTCAGGCTTCTTTCACCCACAACAACACTCAGAGTTTTGTCCCCGCCTCACTTGCTGTCCTCATGCCTCCTCTTCTTAATTGCAGACTCCAACTCAGGAATTGCTATTTCGTAAAAGGAAGCAAGTCTGTGGAGACACACATGGGTAAAAGGTTAAATTAGTTCATAAATACCACATTTCATTAGAAAATCAAAGCAAACCCAAGGGAGCAGGAATGCCCATTTCTTGCTCCCAAGCTGTCACCACAATTTTCTCCTGGGAACGACCCTGGCTCTTCTCCAAGCACACCCCAGACTGTCCCACGGTAGCAGGTCCCAGGAAGAGGTCCCTAGGACCATCTGCTAGGCTCATTCTAATACAGCAATGAGATGGCTACCCAGGACTCACTGAGGTCTGAGAAACAAAGACTGGTCACTTTTCCTTTGTGCCCCAAAACTTCCAGTAGCTGCATACCTCCTGTGACATCAAATGGTAATTCCTCTTTCTGGTACATCCACACCTGGCACAGCCTTGCTTCTCATCATGGCAACCTCACACCCACCCCTTCCCAACTGGAATTTAAACTCTTCTTTCCAGCCACACGCTCCCCACCCCCCCCAATTAAGCCAGCAAAAGGCTTCATCACCATGCTCACCCATGTGATTACGCCTTCCCAGAACTAGATGCACAGCACTCAGGATATGTTGTCTTTAGAATTTAAAGGCAGCTATCTCTCTTCTGTAGTGTAATTCTATCTCTGAACATCCTAGCTTCCCAAAGCCAGAAATACAGCCTATATGACTAAGAAAGTGATGAAACTGTAGCACGTACTCTGTAAATGTTTACAGACAAATGTTTGTCTGTCAACTGGCTGACTTCTGGCAACTTCTAGCCTAGGGTAGTGCCCTGTGTAGCAGAGGGTAACTAAGCCAAAAGAGGCAGGATTTACCAGGCCCATGGGATGGCACCCAGAAGAAGACAGAGAGGGCAGTTTGGCCCACATTCAGGTGTTGCCAGGATACATTGCTGGTGGGAGGGTAAGTTGGAACAACTCCTATGGAGGGTGATTTGGCAAGCTGTATAAAATTTTACATGCATATACCATCTGTTCCTGCAATGCTACTTCTAGGAATTTATTCCTCAGAAATACTTGCAAGACACAAAATGTGTGTGCAAAGTTATCCTTTTTTTTTGTTTTGATTTTTTATAATTTTATTTTTCAATAACAGTTTACATTCAATATTATTTTGTATTAGTATTAGGTGTACAACATAGTGTTCGACAATGAAAAAGTTATTCTTTATAGCATTTTTTTGTAATAACAAACAACTGAAAAAATCCTAAAGGTTCATCTATGGGGTCTGGTATCCCATACAATGAAATTCTACCCAGCTATACCAAAGATCGAGGGTGCTCTATGTGCTGACATACATTAAATTTAAAAGCACAATGCAAATAGTACATAGAGTACTCATATGCCAGCATTACATATTTAAAAGGGCCTGGGTAATATAGAATATGCATATTTGCTTGTACATGCATATTTATATGCATATCTCTGGAAAATTCCGCAAAAAACTAAGGACAATTGTTGTGTATGAGGAACAGAATTGGAGTGGGGGAGAGGGAGACATCACTAATATTTCATACTTTTTTGAGTTTTCAACCATGTGAATGTATTATTCATTCATAAAATTAGACAGAGAGATATTCAGATATACTCAAGTACCCGTATATATTCAAGAGGAAGGAGGAGAAGGTTGCTATGAGAGGGATTAGCTAAAGAGCTGTTTAGTGACTGTAGTCCCTTGCAGAAAGTTCTGGACTGAGGTTACTATATTTGCTCAGTGGGCGTTCCTGGCCTCTAGCACAGTTGAAACAGGCTGGGCCCGCCCCAGGCTGTTTATGGGTCAAAGGCAGTATCACTGTCAGTCAAAAGTGTTTTCCCTTTTTCCCCCTCACCCTGAGATGAGCCCAGCTGCTCCCCTGCTTCCACTGTCCCTTGCAGGAAAGTCCATTCTTCCAAAAAATTACCCCCCAACTCCAAAGACCCTTTCAAAAGCAATCTGTGCCACGTTTTGGAAGACACTGTAACAAAATGGGAAAATGTCTGTGAGAAATGAAAATAAGCAGGGCATAAAAGTTTAAGAATATCTATATGATCTGTCATAGTGATTTTAATTTCCTACCTTTTGGGAGTTTTCCAAATCCCTACAAGCATTTGCCACATTTATCATGAGAAAATATACCTTTTTAAAAAAATGGACAGTTACAGTCCCATCCTAACCCCTTGCTTCTTGGAAAAGTGTCAATCAAGGCTTTATTCTAACATTCTCTGGGAGGCTGATCAATTCTAATGTCTGATTTTTACAAGCTGAAATTACCCAAAATGAGTCAGAATACCAATGCCATCTCTGGCACATGTCAGCAAGAGATAAACGTTTTGTTGAATGGGCGAGTAAATGACTGAATGGACCGATGGCTGGGTAGACAGAGTTGGGCAGCTCCCAGAAGCTCCTTCAAACAGTGGAGAAAGATGCTTGGCACGAGCAACAGCCAGAGGCCACTGAGAACAGGCCAGCGCTGCTGCTGCCAGGCAATGTTCAGGTTACCAGCCCATGCCCTGCACCCCTTTCTCCTTGCACAAAAAACAGGTGCTCATGGTGTGAAGGGGGCACACAGCGTCTCCCTCCTGGCTCCACATCCTCCTCTACCTCTTTCTTTGTCTCAACAGGACCTTTCTATGACTTCTTTGGATAAAAACCTCCAGTGGCTCCCTTCTGCCTACAGAATAAGGGCCCCACTCTCTGGCAGCGTGTTCGAGGCTCCTCTCAATCTGACTTCCACCAAAGCCATCTCTGTAACCCACTCCTCTTCCTGCTTCCCTGGTCTCCCACCGCCCGCCACATGTCTCTCTCCACCCCCTGGCTTTCCCAGGGACATACTCTGGGCCTTCAAAGGCTTTACCCCACCAGCTTGGCATGCCTTTCTGCCACTGGGACCTTTCTCTCTCTGGAAGGTTCTTGCTCATTCTTCCAAGCCTTGTTTAAGAATCATCACGAAACCTCTTATTTCACCAGACAGGATTCTGCCTTTGTGTTCCCAGAGCATTTCACAATATGGCACAAGAGCCTGCCTGACACATAAACGTATCTGCTTGTTTCCTTGCGTGTGTTTCTCTGCCCTGGACTAGATGCTGAAGTCCTCAGACCACTTCTTGTTGTCTATTACTCCCTTGCACCTTCCCAGGACAGGGGCTTTGACATAAAATAGAACTGAAATGAAACTGCTCTATTCTTGGTTGTCATTTTTCTCCCCTACCCTGTCCTTAGCCAAAAATGGGAGTGCTTCTAAAACGTAGGCTCCACACAAACAGAAGTCTTACCCGTCTTCTTTACTGCTGTGTCCCTAGGCTGGAGTAGGGCCTGGCATGTTCTATAAGCACCCAGTAAATACTTATTGAATGAAGATGTGAACTAGAACCTCTACTTCAACAGTCAGAACTGTAGCAGTACCTGTAACAGAAGTCATGTTTCTGGAAGGTTTGGCAAGCCAAAGGGAAGATATCCAGAAAGGCCCAGAGTGTAGTGCAGGTATCACAAAGGTAAAGAACAATGTCCTTTAATTTCTGTTGCCAAAAGAAAACACTGCATTAGTCTCCTCTGCCCTACATGCTCCTTCCCCATTACAGTTCTGCAGAGGGTCTGAGTCAAAGTTGACAAAGCCAGGAGTCTCCAACAGGCAGATGCCTTGCAGTGGAAAGAGAACACTGGAGGTCTGGGCAAAGCCTGGCTGCTCTGTTTCTAAGAGCACAACCCGGGTAAGTCTCTCAACCTCCCAAACCTCAGGTCTTGCTACCATAGTTCCAATGAGTGCATGCCTGATGATCTCTAGGTTACTTCAAGCTCTGGGATAACATGGTTCTCTCTTCTAAGTTGAAGGAGAACCAACCCTTGAATCTGAACACACCACCTGTGGTCCCACACAGAAAGTACATCCCAGTGAGAAGGAGAATATCAAGCCCACACTTTTCTTACATTCTGAAGAGGGCATTCAGAATAGGAAGTGCTTTCTCATACACTCTCCTGATTGTCATGACAACTTATGAGAACTGTCATGAGCTGGGCAGCTGTTTGAATATCTGTTTTACAGATAGGGAACGGAGGTTCAGAGGGGTAAAAATGATTTGTTCCCACAGCACTTGGTGTGCCCTTTTCTGAAACACTTGTTTAATGCCTGTTTTCCCATGAGATCACAAGGTCCAGGACTGCAGCTCACAGCTGCCTCGTTCCTGCTTTCTTCAGTGCTTAACGCAGGGCCTGACACATGCCCAGTCTCCTTAAATATTTACGTTCTGTCATGTCTATGAGACTCCAAGTTCCATGAGAGCAGACATGCCTGCTTTTGCTTACTGCTTTATTCCCAAGGCCCAGTACGGGCCTGGCACAGGCCAGGGGTTCCTCAGTACAAATCCATTGGATGAATTAATAGCTCAAAGAAGGGCAAACAAATGAACCTGTTGAACTGAACTAAACTCTTGTCCTCTGAATTCTAGTTCCCCATTCATTTCATTACTCCCCAAATGAAGCTTCCAGAGAAAAAAATGAAAGCCGAAATGCTCTAAACATGATGGGAATAGCTGCTTATGGAATTGGGAAAAAGTGACCGTGAACAGGGCACTCTCACCAGCAGAGGCATGTCACTGGGGGTCAACCGGCTCCTTTCTTCAAGCTTCTGGGGCGTGGAGCTGGTCCCATCCCCTTGCAAACCACTGTGCTGGAGGATATTACTGAAGACCTGTGAAACACAAGAGGTGAGTCTCCCACAACCTACTGAACCAACAGCTAGGCCTCCTGCCTTGCAGCCAGGGAAGGATGATATGAAAGCTGCCTTCGACTCTGGAATCTATGCCAGTGTTCCCAGGACACCAGCTGAGACAATGACCTCTGACAGCAGGGTCAGAGTGGACATGGTAAAATAGAGATGATGGGGATATTCTTTTTACAGGATTATGGTGAGGATTAAAAAGACAAAATGTATGTAAAGCCCCCAGAATCTTGTAGATGTTATCTAACTGGAGAGGCGGGGCAAGTGCCTGGTAATATTTAAGATATATATTCAATAATATATAATGTGTTTTGATCCCCTGTAGATGGCATTTATGGAAACTATATTGAAATACAAGACAAATCAACAGTGAGGGGAAAACAGAGCCAATCATAAAATCATGTAAATCTTTGACTGACTGTGCCATCTTTAAGGATGCTAGTGTGTAACTACAGTTGTCCCTTGGTATCCTTCAGGAATTGGCTCTAGGACCCCCGCTGATACCAAAACTCACAATGTTCAAGTCCCTTATATAAAGTGGCATTGTATTTGCATATAATCTACACACATCTTCCTGTATAGTTTAAATCATCTCTAGATTACTTATAATACCTAGTCCAATATAAATGGCATATAAATAATGGTTATATTGTATGGTCTAAGAAATGACAAGAAAAAAAGTCTACATTTTCAGCACAGACACAACCATTATAGGCCTAACTATATAGTACACATCAGCAACAATGTAACATTTAGGTTGATTGAGGTTGATTGAATCTCTAGATGCAGAACCCATGGATACAGAGGGCCAACTGTATTCTAAAAGCTACCATGAACATAAAAGGTCTCTTGGTGATGGGATGGAATCATAGGGTAATATTAATCTACTATTTTCTGTTTTTTTATATTTCCCCATTTTTTATAATCAACATTATTATTTCATAAATGATTTTATAAAACTTTAAAGCTGTTATTTGAGAAACCTAGCTCTCTTAGAAGGGTATTCTTAGAGGCTTATGGCTGTCAGCAAACACAAGCCAAGCTCTTTCAGTATGGGTACAGTACTTGATAGCCCTTAGATTTTAGTCCTGTTCAAGAGGGGAAAGAACGAATTTGAAGTGGTGTGGTCGGGAGACCTTCTGGAGATGGGAGGGGTGTGGGGAGTAAACATTTCTCCCAGGCTCAGCAAAGTCAAGGTACACCATCAGGTGGGAGGGGGTATGCTACCCAAGCTTCCTTGGGCAGGGCTAAGAGCTGGTACCTGAAGGATGGTGGGCATGGTTTCATCCAGGTCATTATAGTAACTTGGCTGCTGGATAAAGATGTTTCCTGGAAAGAGAAGAGAAAGGTAGAAATTGGGAAAAGAGAGCGGGGGTGGAGAGGATACATTTCAAATGGTTGCCAGCAGGTTCTGTGACCTTTCTCCCCTTTCCTAAGCCTGCCTGAACTAGAGCAGTCCTGGCCCCAGGCCCTGCTGGCACCAAGCTTTGGCCCAGCCTAGAAACTTCCCAGGGTGGGGGAGGGACTTGCGCAGTACAATTTAACCTTTTAAGCACCTCTGCCTAGGGAATTACGTAAAAGGCCTGCCCTGGTCAAACCAGCTCCCCGTGACATCCCCAGGGAGTGATCACACTTGGGCACTGTGCCTTGTATGACAGCATTGGCTTTGGAAGTGGGAGTTAGTCATCCAGGAAAATTAGGAGATAGGATCTCTTTGCTCAAGAAAACTGGATGCCAAAATCCAGAATTCTTGCCAGCCCACGTGTCCAATAATGTGAAGGAATCTAAAGAGAAATGTCTTTGGAAATTCTCTCACCCTTTGTTTTTGAATATTCTAGCCATACTAATCGATCCCATTCCAAGGTGAGAGAAATGGGATTTACCACCCGTCTGCAGTTGTTTCTATAAAGTGAAGCTCCTCTCTGAGTGTGTACTATGCTCCAAGTGCTGCTGCTCTGAGTAGGTTAGAGCATATAGCAACTGGAACAGAAACCAAATGTTCTCGCTGCCCAAATGGCGAAGGGAGGGAAGGAGGATCACAGCTAGCTGGGGACATGACATGCAAATGCTAACGCCCTAAGAGGCCAGGGTTCTTCATCCTACTTTAATCCTAGCATTTAAAGTTGGCTGCCAGGATGTTCTGAATTCTAGGTGTCCCCTGTCCTTGAGCAGGTCTGTCCTTGGTTTCTTTACTGAAAACCCTGCAGCCGTCACCCCATCCCAGAGGATCTATAAATGAATGAGAGCAAAGGAGAGATGGACCTGGGTGAGTAAGCAAGTAACTAGGTGGCTGGACTTTCTGTAAACAGTTTCCTGGATACTACTTTGTTCCTTGATTCCAGAAAGCTGAGTTTTATCAGCACAATTACTCAGCACCTCCCACCTCCAGATGGGTGATGATCCCTCAACCTGTGAAGGAACTCCCTGATCATCTGTGTCAATCTCCTACTCCTGACAGGCAAGGAGTGACTGAGCTATCTCTCCATCATCCTCTGCTCTTCCTCATAAGACCCTCCTATTGGTATCAAGGTCAAATTCAAACTCCTAACCATGGCACAAAGGGCTTTGTGAGATCTGCCAGCATCTCTGGCCACCTTCCCCCCATTCCTGGCATTGCACCTTCTCCCTCACACCCCTTTCAACCTCAGAGAACAAGCCCTGTCCCTTGCTTCTCTATGAAGTGCCCTCCCATAAGGCAGGTGTCACCTTCTCCAGGCAGTGTCTCCGGACCCAGGCATCAGGTACAGGTCTCCTCCCATAATTCCCAGGGCCACGCCATGGTTCCCTCCACACCCCAACCACCTGGCATGGGGGAAGGCACTCTCATATCTTTCCAAGGCTTAAGCTTGAATAACCATGATGCTTTACAAGCATCAAAAAAAGATCACATTTCACAGTCCCCTCCCCTCCCCT